CAGGAGGGGCATGCCAACTGACCAACAGTCGGCTACTCTCCATTTTTATATTCATTTTTATTTAAAGAGGGGCATGCCAACTGACCAACAGTCGGCTACTCTCCATTGAGTATTTTACTCTATCTTCAAAGAGGCATGCCGCCTGTACCTTTACAGTCGGCTACTCTCCATCGAGTATTTTACTCCTTTAAAGGGCCATGCCGCCTGTACCTTTATGGTCGGCTACCCTCACATAATACAGTTCACCAAGAACTATCAAAAAACATGATCAGACCAAGCGTCAAGCCAACTGATCAAAATATAAAAAAATTCAATTCGACCTGTCCCAACATTATAGCAGGCGTCCGACGGCATCCATCCGGATGAAATTCGTCGCAGAGAGCAGCTCCCTTTTGGGTGGAACATTGTTCTATAAACTAATCACACGGCACCTATACGACTGTCCCCAAGGGCAACCACGTAGCCGTTTTTGAGACAAGGATAACTTTTGTCACTAGCCAAACTAGTGGTAACAGTTGACATCTGAGTCGGATTACCGCCTGTATTACTTGGGATAAATGCAGGGGGTACCTCTTTGAGTTAATAGCCAACAAACATTGGCGAATCAAGGGGTCCAGCCGGCCTCTGCCGCCTGGTACCTCTACTACTCAATCTAGAATGAGGACGACTGAGTAACACCAACGTTAACTCAGTCATCCTCCCAAGCTTGGTATGGAACCTAAAAAGTTTGAATAGACCACCTGTTTTTTGGCAAACAAGGGCATTCAAACTACTATTCCTACTAGGTTTCCCTTCGAGTTAATAGCCAACAAACATTGGCGAATAAAGGGGAACAACCGGTACCCACCGCTTGATACCCTACTACTCAAATCACTCGGCGACTAGGACCGCCTGCCTAAGGGTAATCCAGTCATAGACTGCCTACAAGTCTAAGTAAGAAAACCCTTTGGTTAATTTTACTAATAACAGGACCGCCTGCCTAAAGATAATCCAATCTTTTAACGGGAACAATACCGATTGAATAAATGGCCGACTGATCGCCCAGCTTGGAAACAGACAACCAGTCGTCCAGGGGCATAGGCGGACCATCCGTACCTGTCTACAATCGGCCATGCAAAACAGTCGATATAGTGTACAATGCAATATCAAATATTCAACACTTAGACAAATTTCAAGCAAAAAATGATTTCATTAATGAAGATAAAAATATTCAGAACCCCGGCCCCCTGGCCGGGTAAATACAATCAAACGGCACGCAGGCCGTGGAAAGAATACATAAAGCTTAAGAAGGGGGCAGTTCAGTATTAGCAGTTGTCGCCTGGTCAGCACTCTTCTTGCTGGACTCGGCTTCAGCTGCATCCTTTTTCGATGCCTTGCCCCCAAGTGGCACAAGCGCCACTATCGGCTGCTCATCCTCAACCAAGGCCTCCTCCAACGCCTCGTCCTCAGTAGCCGCCAGGATCTCTTGATTATATATTTCAGAACACTGGCGGTACGTTTTTTCCCACGAGGCAAAGTCGGCACTGGGGAAGAGGCGGCTCCAGGTCATGCGCTGGATCTGGGAAGAGTCTTCAATCATCTCTCGGACGAGCTCTCTCTTCTCTTGCTCAGCCTTCTCCGAGAGCTCTCTCTTCTCTTGCTCAGCCTTCTCCGAGAGCTCTTTGGTTAGACTCTTCTCCTGGGTCACCAGGCGTTCTTTTACGTTAGCCAAGGATTTTTCCATGGCATCGTATGAGAGTATCTTTTGGCGGAGAGGTTTAAGCTCGGCCTTGAGGTTGGAGACGGTCGCCTCCAGCTCGCTGTTCCTCTTCTGGGCCGCCTCTAACTGAGCCCGGATAGCGGCGGCAGCCTGCGCCTGATAATAAAGAATATCAATTGTCAGAACTTCATTTTGGGCAATTTGAAACATTGCCTTATCACAGTTAGAGGCGGCCATAGCTTTTGCAGCCTTTACCTCTTTGTTTTTCCGATCAAGCGGCTTGCGAAGGCCGTTCACTCGAAGCAGGGCCTAAGTAAAAAGGGAACAGGCGTCAGTTTCAAAACAAGATAACAGGCGTCCTGGAACTCAAATACAAAAAATGCTAAGTATACCTCAGCAAGGACCCCTGCAATCCCATCAAGGTCAAGGGTGCCGACACCCCTGACCGCCTCCCTTTCAGATGGAGGAACTGCTTTGATCATGGACTTGGCTACCTCTACCAAGTCAGGCTCCTGAGGGCCGGCTGCATCAAGCGTAAAAAAGCAAGTTAGACCTAGTCAAGAAGAAAGCAAGTGAAAGTTTTTACAAGTAATTGTCCATACTTCTAGGCGGCCCCGCCGGAGTTTTAGAAGAAGTGGCCGGCTGCTTCTCAGCCGCCACTGTTTTCCTGGAAGACCCAGGAGAGCTTGCAACAGTCGTCCTCCGGGCCTTGGGGTCCGGCTGTTGCGAGGAAGAAGCTCTTGGAGTGCCCGACTGAAAAAAAAAAAAAAAGTTAGTATATGCATAAGCCAACTCCTAAAAGAGGAAGAGTTTCGAGGCCTACCAAGGGTGCCCCCTTGTTGGGGGAGTCGGTACAAGACTGTTGCATGAGAGAGGCCCGCAACATGGCCGCCGCAGTCTTGGATGCTGTTATTTTACTCATGGCGTCAGCTGCAAAAAATAAACAGCAAAGTTAGTAAAAATCCCAAGTAAACAAGGCGTGAAAAACAGAGTATTTGTCAGGCCGGCTACCTCTAGAACACCGACTGCTGAGGCCACAGGCGGCCAAAAAGTACTCGTCATAGAGCCACTTGAAGCTCGGGACGCAGTTCAGGGGTACTTGCTCTCGTACCCCTGAAGTAGAGTTCACCCTAGTCTCTACTTTGAAGAGTCCTTTGTCTAGGATCTCTTTTTTAGCCTTTGGGGGAACAGGCGGCATGCTGCGGCCGCCTGCGAGAAGAGGCGGATCCCTATTCCACTTGTTAAAGCGTTTGTTCAGCTCCGTGTCTGAACCCTCGATGATAAGGAAGGTGTTCCGCCAATCCTTCCATTTGTTCGCCTTACCTCTCGTCATGAGGTAGCCCCTATGGCTTGTTAATTGATACCAGCCGGCGCCGCCCGACTTAGGGGTCCGGCTGAGATAGTTCATGTGGGCGAAAGCCTCAAAGTTTGGCTCCACCCCGTACATTTCGCACCCGGCCACATAGCCGAGTACGTTTACCCAAGAGTTGGGGGCTAACTGCCACAACCCCAAATCATACCCATCTAAAATCCGCTGAACAGCCGGATGTAATGGGAAACGCAGTCCAGCTTTGATGGCCGCCTCATAGCAGCCAAAGCAGCCGCCATCATAGCTGGTACCAGCCGGCCAGACGACAGTGTCTTCTGGATCTGGCACGAACAGTAAAAATCCGGGGCCCATTCTGTGGTTAGCTATAAAGCTCTCCACTTTGTCTTTCATGGCCGCGATCCGGCCCCGGGGTACCGTGCAGTAGTAGGGGGTGTTTTCCTCTCTGTAAGAGGCGGACGGCTCCGCCCAATTGCCCCCCTTCTCAACTGCATGAGAAAGCCTCGCCTCTTGTAGGCGGCTGTTTCTTTCTTCTGAGCCTGGAGAAGCGTGGCCAGAAGAGCAGGACTCGGACTCGTCCTCTGACGAGTCCGAAGAGGACGACTCCTCCCCTCTCCCAGAGGGGCCCGCCTCCTCTCCCTCAGAAGGAGCAGGAGAAAAGTTGGACATATCAACGGTAAAATGGGAAGGGACCACCTTGCCCCCTCCCTCAGAACTGTCGGCTTGGCAGCCGCCTTGTTTCCTTTCTACATCTGGCGCCTGGTCAGATGTTTCACTAATGGGCACCCTATGGGAGGAGCCGTCCGAGTTTGAGATCCTAGCAGTCTTCTTTGTTCTGGCCATCACGTTCTGCATAGACACAGATACAGTCGGACTTTGTATAAAGGGCAAAGATGGGTCCAGAAAAGGGCAGGCGGCACTCCTAGTCCTAGATTCAGCCGTCCCCGGTGACCGGCTGATCACTAACTTAGGTCGTGTCGTGTGCTTCCATGGTGCCATTTCAAAAAATAATAATAAGAAAAAAAATTAAGAATAAGAGAACCGACGGTTACCTGAACGAGTGACGACTGATGAAATTCTGAAATCCCTTGCAAACGGCTTGTCAGAGCAGGCGGTAGGCAACAAAAGTGTCAGAGCAAGTTCAGGGGTCCGAATGTTCTCTCGCAAAGTTCTCAAATGTGAAAAATGACCGAAGTCAGCACTTCCTTATATAGGCAAAGTGAGAAGGCGAAGGGTCGCTTCCAAATTCAAAATTTGGGCGGGAAAATCTCTCGGCCATTTGCAAGGTGACACCTGCAGCAGGCCGTCGCCTGTCATCATGCGACACCTGTCACAGGTGACACGTGACCAGTCACGTGCCACCTGTGAGGGGCAAATGATTAGGGGATTTTTATCCACCAATCACCGTCTGACAAGTGGACCAACCAGGTTCCGCCACGTGTCTTTCACGTAGGCCAATAGGAGCCTGCCACGTGTCAATTACAGATTCGTCCTCTGCGGACCAATTGAGACACGCCACGTGTCCACCCATGCCAAATGGGAAAACCGGCCACCAAGGCCCAATCCTGTTATGAGGCCCAGTCAGCCCTAGGTTTACCCTAAACCAAGAGACTGGCACGCTTCCCGAGGATATAAATACTCCTCTTAATCCTCATTAAGGGGGGGAGAACTCTAATAACACACGGATTATACATTAAACACTCTCACCTAGAGAGACTAAATCACTTTAATTTCCGCACTCATTACTCCTAAAACAAGTACTAACTTGACCGTTGGAGGCGGAGCTCCTAGGAGTCTCCGTTATTTTGCAGGTACAGGCGGCCGGTTCCAGTCTCGGTGTTGTAACTCTCCCGCAGGACATCAGAAAACCCCGAAACATACAATACAGTACATATTGATGAAAAATGGTTTACACTGACTAAAAAAACACATAGGTCATATTTAGCAAAAGGAGAAAAAGGTCCACATAGAGTAATGCAATCAGCCAAGTTCATTCCAAAATTCATGTTCCAAGGAGCAGTTGCAAAACCTTGGTACAATGCAGAAAAAGAAGTCATTTTTGATGGGAAAATAGGCATTTTTCCATTTGTAAAAAAGGAGCCAGCACTTAGGTCCTCAAAATACAGGAAAAAGGGAGAAATGGTCACAAAGGTAATTGATCCAATCAACAGGGATGTCTCAAGGTGGATGTTGATTGAAAAAGTCATTCCAACAATTATGGAAAAATGGCCTCACACAGGTCAACACAACACAATCTACATTCAGCAAGATAATGCAAAGGCACATATTACTCAAGATGATGCAGTTTGGAAAGAACATTGTGAACAACCAGGGTTCACTTTTATATTAACTCAGCAACCACCAAACAGTCCAGACATGAATGTTCTGGATTTGGGCTTTTTTAGAAGCATTCAATCACTTCAACACAAGAAAATGGCAAAGACACCAGACCAGTTGATAAAAGCTGTTGAAGATGCATTTAGTGAGCTACCTCATAATAGGCTGTTCAAGGTGTGGGTAACTTTGTGCCACACAATGAACCAAATTCTGAAAAGTAAAGGTTCTAACAGATTTCAACCTCCACATGTTAACAAAGATAGGCTGGAAAGAGAGGGAAGGCTAAAAGATCCTATAGAAGCTCCTATGTGGGCTGTGATTGGTGCATGGGAGAGAGTGTACATGGACAAGCCAGACTCAAATGATGAGCAAGACACTGAAGAGGTCAACATTGACAACACACAAGCAATTGAAGAGCACAACACACAAGAAAGACCAAACACAGAGGCATATAGGCCTGTTATGGTAAATGATCATGAAGCATCTACTTCAAATGCCAATGCAGAGTAGTGAATAGGGGTCAAGTGTAAAAAAATTTGGCATGTTTATTTTTATATTTTGTTCTTATCTTTTGGTTAAGACATTAGGTGAATATAAATATGTAATCAAATCCTTTATTATGGAATGAAACATGCACAAAAATTTTGGAAAACAAAGTGCTCTAAAACTGTCATTGCACTCTTTTATTGTTAACTCAGATTGTCCCCAAGCATCATTGACACACCAACCAAACATCCACACACAATCCATAGTCAGCAAAGAAAATAATTCAAGAGTAGTCTGAGTTATTCTCTAAGGACAGCAGAATGATAGGGCATTTAAAGTTGGGCATCTCAACAAAAAAAGACTCATCATTGTCAAATAAAACCAACACCTTATGTTGTTTCAACAGATGGAGTGTATAAATAGGTAAATACCATTGTATAAACTACTTACACACCCCAAGTGTTGAACAACATAAGTAACATAAGTTAAATTACAACATACGCAAGGTCTCAGGGCATTTAGTGCATATTCATTGAAGACTTATATTGTGGATTACAAGCTCACACAAAGGACACACAAGCAATCTCATCTAACCAAACAAGTCACCAAATCACAATACATGTTATATGGCAAAAACAAAATGCCTCCTAACATCATACTCCCATCATTCATCATTGACCTTATCAAATTAGGATCACTCACATAATGTCTTATTACCTAATGGGATAATTGTGAAGTGGTCAATAATTTGAACATCTAAACATATATCCCATTGGTAATAAAACACTAAGTGTAAGGACATGTTATGACAAAAGGTCTTAGATTTTAAAGTTTTTATCATAATAGGCAAATTGAGCAGCCAAATAAAACTCATATCATGCTTTATAGATTCCTTGAGGAAAATGGTACCTTGTGGTCTAAATGACATGAACAAGATCCTATATGCCTTCTAAATGCCCAAATAAAATATCATCACAGACCTCATCCTAGGCATATACTCAACACAGCAACACATCAAACCAACATCAGTATACAAGTACTCAAAACAGCCACACATCAACCCAACATGAGTATACAAGTACTCAAAACAGCCACACATCAACCCAAAATGAGTATACAAGTAATCAAAAAATGCCGAACATCAACCCAACATGAGTATACAAGTACAATTTTAGGCAACCAACAAGGCATATCCAAACAAGGCATATCCAACCAACATAGGCAACCAACAAGGCATATTTAACCAACATATCATGATAATAGGCAACAAAATTAAAACCCAATCCAAAAGAGCATATCAACAAGACTACCAAAGATCATCATCATCATCAACAACAAAAAAACCAAAACAAAACCAACAAGATAATCCTCATGTTCTAAATACAACCAACCATCACATTCAATTATCCCCAGTCTTAGAAAACAAAAGAAACCACAACAAATAACAGCAAGGCATTCTGAAACTTAGCTGTGAGATTCATTATCAGAATCCTTTCTCTGGGACATAGGCAACTTAGAAGGGGAGCAACCACCATCATCATCATTGGAGTCTGAACAGTCTGAGTCCACATTGTCATAAGGTCTTGGCAAACCCTTCTTCCTGCATTGCCTTCTGTACCAATTATGAGGCCAATAGTCAGAGTCTGCAGGAGGCATTCCTGTTGGGACAATTCCAATCTAATTCTCAAAGTGTCATTGCTGTAACTGTGCTTCCCATCATAGCCACTGCCTAATTCACAGTCACGGTCAGTGCATTGGTAGGACTCAGATGTGTAGTGTGATCTGGAATCAGCTAATATCCTGTCAATAAGTGAACTAGTTTGTTGGTCCAAAGGAATGGGAACACGGGGTTTGACAGGAGAGTTGGCAGGAGCTTTCACATTAGAGGTAGATGGGAGTTTAGCTGGAGATTTTGGTGGTTTGGCTGGAGAATTAGATGGTTTATCAACCTCTTCTCCGCTTGCCTTCTGCTTTCTATACATTTCATAGTTGTGAGTGTGATGAGAGTGTGATTCATTTGAACCAGGGGACTGACTCATGGTCACAGGCAACCTGAAAAGAAACCAGGGGACTCACTCAATCATGACTTAATCAACATGTAACCAATTAAGACAGCCAACCATCAAAAAAGCAAGTGTAAATGAGTATACATTGTCCCAACATGTTTAAATGAGTGTACAATCACTCAAGACAATCACACATCAAACCAATATCATTATATGAGTATACAAGTACTTAAGACAGCCACACATCAAACCAATATCATTATATGAGCATACAAGTACTCAAGACAGCCACACATCAAACCAATATCATTATATGAGTACACAAGTACTAAAGACACCCACACATCAAACCAACATGAGTATACAATCACTCAAGATGCATAACAATGGGTCCTTTGTTCCTGTTTCAACCATGAAGCATTCAAACAAAAGGACTCATGTTATAACAATGTCAACAATACATAACTAAACCTCTAACATTGTTTCCAAATCATAGCTCTCATATATTGAATAGTGAAGTGTACATGCAACTAAATAAATAAATATACATGCAATTGAACATTGACCCCTAAATCATGTGAACAGTGAAACCCTAATTCACAAAATTGAACAGATAACCTTACTAGGGAAAATATATAAAATCGCAAACATAAATATTCACAATATAATCAAGATTTAGGGGAACATATTTTAAATCCAAATCATACTCCATAACATTGAACGAAATCAAGATCCATGGCAAAGAAGTAAACATCGGCAAAAATAATCCAAAAATTGTAATTATTTCAGTAAAACATCATAAAGAATCAAGAAATACCCCATATAATCAAATTACTCAGACCAGAAAATTGAAAAAAAAATATACAGAAAATCGAAAAAAAAAAACGATACCTATCACCTTTAAAAAGGGCGGATTCACAAAATTAGATGAAGGCTTTGATTCGTTCGAACACGTACAGAAAAAATCAACAATTTTTCCGGCGCTTTTGAACCCCAAGTTGCTCGATTTTAAGAGAGAGAATGAAGAAATGAGTTGTTCTTCAATGGAAGAACCCAGAAAACCAAAGAAATGAAGAGAGAGAAAATAAGAGAGAGAAATTAAGAGAGAGAAAGCACCGCTTCAAAAGTATTCAGAACACCAAAAATCAAGGGAGACAATTCATTCATTATGGCACAAGTACAAACACAATTATAAGAGTATTTTGGGTATCACAGATAATAAAGCCAAAAAAATTGAGGGCATATAAGTAATTTTGTGTTATTGTATGGGAACAAAAAAATGTGAAATGTGACTAACATTTTGGGTGTCCAAAAATGGAAATAGTGACTATCATTCGGGAAAGGAGGGAGTATAATGGAAGTAAATTACACAAAATAATTAATTTGGCGCAAATATTTAGGAGGGATGTACATCGCCATTTAATCATTTGAGGTTTCAAATAACTTTCTTTTATTATTTACCAACTGACGGGAATTATTTTGCCTCCAATTTATACTAATATAAATTGGTGCAATATGAACAGTGTACCGATTATAATTTTGAATATTATACTGTAAATTTACACGTGTTGGATAAGTACGTTCGACTATTTTTTTTCTGACACTCCGGCTCTTCAATGTTAGTTTCACACTTTCTTTTTCTTAGGTTAATTTTACACTTATTTTTAAATCTTTTCTCATTAAAAAGTTAGATTCTTAATTAATTATGCTCTCCCACACCCAATACAAAATTGCCCCCCCCCTTTTTTTTTTTTTTCTTCCTTCTAACACATCTAACATTGTAATATTAAATTTAACGTAAGTCCTTGTTCCCCTTCATATTACATCAAGATAATCATACAAAGTAATTGGTGACCAAACAAAACTTATGATCTCCTAATTAAAATGTTATTTGATTGCTAATGCGAATTATTAATAGTTTTACCAATGTGTAAATTCTGCTAATAAAATGTCCCTAATAAGTGATTTAGTTTAACACACTAATTTTTTTTTTTTCCCTATTTTTTCATATAGTTTCACTAAATACATCTTCTAAATAAGCATAAACTTTGTCTCGGATGTACCTATGTATGTAGCAAAGTGTAGGTACATAAATCGAATCTCATGAAGAGCACTTGAGTCTAGTAAAATTACCAATCTCCCCTTACCTTCTAAAATCCTAAGTGGTCCCATTGCTTACCTTTTAATTTCCCCAAAAATTTATAAAAAACTCATTACGGAGTATTTTGTTTTGTTAGTTTAAGAAAATGTACCATTGACTATAATTAGTTATCATTCCTTACTATGTCAGCAAAATATCAGTCTCATGTTTCCCAAAAATCACCCAATCAAAGATAAAAGGTTTTTTTTTTCTAAGACCATGTTAGGCTTAAAGATGCCGTTTTAAAGAGATAACATAATTTTTTCATATAAATAAAATAATACTCCTTAATCAATCAAGTAGTATTAGGGATTTTTTTTTACTTAATTCAAGTTTAATTTAGTTTAATTCAACTTACATCAGTACATTATTTAATTTTAGTTCAATTCAACTCAGTTCAACACAAAGAAACGGAGAAGGGTTCTCGCAATCTTAACTTTGTAGAATCAATTTCAACTAGAGACACTTTGAGGGTGGACATTTTCTAACTTATAGTATTCCTCAATTCGAACTTTAAAGAGCCTTGCCTGTTAACCTGAAATAATTGAATTGTGCGAGATTTCAATCGACTAGACGTCTTCTCCTTAACTAAAAAATAAATTAATACAAAAAAAAAAAAATGTCCCCCAATAGAGAGAACTGAGCTAAAACCGGAAACTATGTAATGTAACGCAGCACAACTAATGTGGTACAATTAGTACAACAACTTAATTGTTTTACCATTAAAACCAAAAAAATTGCACAAAAATCAGTGTGCTATATATTTAAATCTTGATATATAAACTATGACTTAATTTTTAAATAATAATCTTATTGTGTTCATACATACAATTAGATTGTTGTATCATGTACACTATCTAATTGTTTAATACATGCAT